GGCTTACTGCAACCTCCCCCTCCCAGGTTCAAGCAATTCTCCTTCTTCAGCCTCCCAGGTAGCTAGGATTACAGGCACCAGCCACCAGGGCCAGCTAATTTTTGTATTATTAGTAGAGATGGGGTTTCACCATGTTGGCCAGGCTAGTCTTGAACTCCTGACCTCAGGTGATCTGCCTGCCTCAGCCTCCCAGTGCTGGGATTACAGGCGTTAGCCACAATGCCTGGTCAACGATAACAACTCTTAAGCAACCATTGAGTCAAAGTCATAAATGGAAATTAGAAAATATCCTGAGACAAATGAAAATGAAAACACAACATAGTAAAGCTTATGTAGCAAAAGCAGTACTAGGGAAATATTTAGCTGTAAACACCTCCATTAAAAAAGATAAAATAGAGCCAGGTGCAGTGGCTCACACCTATAATCCCAGCACTTTGAGAGGCCAAGGCGGGTGGATTACTTGAGGTCAGGAGTGCAAGATCAGCCTGGCCAACAAGGTGAAAGCCCATCTCTCTGGACAATACAAAAATTAGCCGGGCACATGTAATCCTAGCTGCTTGGGAGGCTGAGGGAGGAGTATCGCTTTAGCAGAGGAGGTGGAGCTTGTAGTGAGTCAAGACTGTACTGCAGCCTAGAAGACAGAGCAAGACTCTGTCTCAAAAGAAGAGGAGGAGGAGGAGGAAGGAGGAAGGAGGAGGAAGAGGAGGAGGAAGAAAGAAGAAGAAAAATAGGCCAGGCATGGTGGCTCACACTTGTAATCCCAGCACTTTGGGAGGCCAAGGAGGGTGGATCGCCTGAGGTCAGGAGTTCGAGACCAGTGTGGCCAACATCATGAAACCTGTCTCTACTGAAAATACAAAATAGTCAGGCATGGTGACGTGTACCTGCAGTCCCAGCTACTCTGGAGGCTGAGGCAGGAGAATCACTTGAACCCAGGAGCTGGATGGAAGTCGCAGTGAGCCAAGATCGTGCCACTCCACTCTAACCTAGGTGACAAAGTGAAACTCTGTCTCAAAAAAAAAAAAAATGAAAGAAACATCTAATGAATAAGCTAACTTCATGCTTATGGAACTAGAAAAACAGCAAACTAAGCCCAAAACTAGTAGAAGAAGTAATAAAGATTGGAGTTGAGATAAATAAAACACAGAAAAGAAAAACAAAAGAAAGAAAAGGCCACAACAGATTTGAAAGTTCATGAACTTTATTTATTTATTTATTTAGCGACAAGGTCTCGCTCTGTCACCCAGGCTGGGAGCATTAGCATGATCACAGCTCATGGTAGCCTTGACCTCCAAAGCTCAAGAAATCCTCCCAGCTCAGGCTCCCAAGTAGCTGGGACTATAAGCCCACAGCACAACACCGGCTAATTTTTGCATTTTTAGTAGAGGGGTTTCACCATGTTGCCCAGGCTGGTCTCAAACTCCTGAGTTCAAGTGATCTGCCCACCTTGGCCTCCCAAAGTGCTGGGATTATAGATGTAAGACACCATGCTCAGTTGTGCTCGAACTCTTAGTGCATTCACAAGCCATACACAGATCTATGGACAAAGGACGGTAACTTACTGTCTCAAAGTGTTTAAGCACCACCTTTGACCAATCACCAGCTGACTGCTAGAAAATTGTTGACACAGGGTGACCCCTAAGAAACAGGGCTTTTTTAACTGAAAAAAATACAGAAACAACTTTGGAGATAAATCAATTTTCAAAAACTGCAAGGAAAACAATATTCCACAGATTTGATCCAGACAAGTTACTAAACAAATAGAACAATCCGGCCAGGCATGGTGGCTCATGCCTGTAATCCTAGCACTTTGGGAGGCCAAGGCAGTCAGATCACTTAAGGTCAAGAGTTTGTGACTAGCCTGGCCAACATGGTGAAACTCTGTCTCTACTAAAAATACAAAAATTAGCCAGGCATTCTTGCAGCAATTATTCCCTATGGTGCAAAAAAAAAATAGTGGTGTGCCCCTGTAATCCCAGCTACTCAGGAGATTGAGGCAGGAGAATCATTTTAACTCAGGAGGCAGAGGTTGCAGTGAGCTGAGATTGTGCCACTCCATTGGCTTTTTATACTATTTATTGAGTTTTTTAAAAAAAAATAATTGCTCTAGGGATTACAGTATGCATCTTAATTTATCACAATTTATTACACTCCAGCCTAGGCAACATAGTGAGATTCTGTCTCACTGTAAAAAAAAAAACAAAAAAACAAATAGAACAATCCCCAATTGGAAGAGGCGGAGGGTGCAAATCTAAAGTTGCTATCTGTATTGTACAAAAAATCTGATTTTCGACAAAAAACTGCAAGGCATGCAAAGCAACAAAGAGGCAAGGTCAATACACGGGGAACAAAACAGTCAATGGAAACTGTCTGTGAAGGGAGCCAAATGTTGGACTTCGCAAAGACTTTGAAGCAGTTATCATAACACATTTTTAAAAGTAGAAAAAACCAGCCAGGCGCAATGGCTCAAACCTGTAATCCCAGCACATTAGGAAGCCAAGGTGGGTGGACCGATCGATCACATGAGGCCAGGAGTTCTAGACCAGTCTGGACAACATGGTGAAACCCTTACTCTACTAAAAATACAAAATATTAGCTGGGCATGGTGGTGTGCACCTGTAGTCCCAACTATGCAGGAAGGTGAGGCAGGAGACAAAACCTCCATCTAAAAAAAAAAAAAAAAACAATTTAAAATTAGCTGGGCATGATAGCTGGGCATGGTGATGTGCACTTGTAGTCCCAGCTACATGGAAGTTTCAGGCAGAAGGATCCCTTAAACCCAGGAGGTCAAGGCTGCAGTGAGGCATGTCTGTACCACTGCTCTTCAGCCTGGGTGACAGACTGAGACTCTGTCTCAGAAAAAAAAAAGAGAAATACACAAAAGGACTCTATACATGTTTTTCACTTTTCTCCTCCTCGCTTCTTTAAAAGAGGTAAGAGTGTATAAAGCAATAGTTGTAACACTGCACTGTTGAGATTACAACATAGACATAATACGTGAGCCGATAACAACACAAAGGGAAGAGGGAACGGAGCCATATTAAGAGAACAAAGTTTCTATGTTTTAATGGAATTCAACTAGTATTTATATAAATTGTGATAAATTAAGATGCATACTGTAATCCCTAGAGCAATTATTTTTTTTAAAAAAACTCAATAAATAGTATAAAAAGCCAGAAAACTCAATGAAAGTATTTAAATAGTACACTAGAAAATAATCTATTTTGACTATGCACAGTGGCTCACACCTGTAATCCCAGCACTTTGGGAAGCTGAGGCAGGAAGAGTGCTTGAGGCAAGGAGTTTGAGACCAGCCCTGGTAATATTGTGAGACCCTATCTCTACAAAAGGATAAAAAAAATTAGCCAACTAAATGTTGTTAATAAGATTAACAGGTTACTTCTCACCTGCTAAAGAATGTGAGTGCAGGCTTACAGTCTCAGCTACTAGGGAAGCTGAGGCCGGAGAATCACTTGAACGTAGGAGTTCAAGGTTGCAGTGAGCTATGATCATACCACTGCATTCCCATCCAGCCTGAGTGACAGAGTGAGGCCTTTTCTCAAATAAAGGGGGGGAAAAAAGATAAAATAATCTATTTAATAAATATCACCGAGCACGGTGACCATGTGCGTAGTCTCAGCATTTTGTCAGGCCAAGGTGGGTGGATTGCTTGAGCCCGGGAGTTTGAGACAAGCCTGGGCAACATGATTAAACCCTGTCTCTACAAAAAAAAAAATACAAAAATTAGCCAGGTGTGTTGTATACTTGTAGTCCCAGGTACTGGGGAGGCTGAGGTGAGAGGATCACTGAGCCTGGGGAGGTCAAGGCCACAGTGAGCCATGATCACACCACTGCACTCCAGCCTGAGTGAAAGAGTAAAACCCTGTCTCAACAATTTTTTTTTAAAAACCAACAAATAAACAAATATCAACCACAGGCTGATAACTCCCCAATCTGTCCCCAGTCTAACCTCTCTGAAATTCACATGCACTTTTGACATCTACACTTAGATATTCAATGGTTATCTTAAATGTAACATGTCCAACAGAAACTCCTCATCTTGTTCCCACAGCCTGCTCTATTTATACAGTCTTTCCCATCACTGTAACTGACACCATCCTTTCAGCTGCTCAAGCCAAAAACGTTGGCGTCATCCTTGAGTCTTCTCTCTCACACCCCCACATTCAATCCCATCAGTGAATGCTGTTGCCTCTACCTCTACCTCCAGAAAGACTTCTTACCACCGCCACTGCTATTCCCCTATAGTCAATGCTACATACACTCATCTCTCACCTGGGTAATGACAAGAGTCTCCTGATTAGTCTCCCAGCTTCTGCTCAAGAAGCAGCCAGCTTGATCCTTTTTAAAAACATTAGTCAGATCACTTTTCCTCTACTCAAAACCCTCTAATGGCTCCCATCACACTTTGTGGAAAAGCCCATGTTTTCAACTGGCCTTCTAGTTATTCTTCAAGTTATTCCTTCTAATTATTGCTCAGGCATGCTTTCAGCCCTAGGCATTCATATTAGCTGTTCACTCTGCTTAAAAAGCTCTTCCCATGGATATCCACATGGCTCACTCTCATTTCAAGTAAAGTCTTTATTCAAATGTCCCTTTCTAAGGTCTTCACTGACTACCTTATTTAAAATTTGTTTCCCACCCCTACCCCCACCCCCAATTCTTTTTTCCCACAATACTTAGCAACTTCTAATATAATATGCAGTTATGGTTTTCAATTTGTTTCTTGTCTCTCTCTACCACGAAAATATAAGCTACATGAGAGGAGGGATTTTGTTTATTACTCTGTCTCCCGGACCTAGGACATAGTAATAAGCACTCAATACATATTTATGAAACTAAAATAAACAAATACAAATAAACAAAAAGAAAAGTGAAACTGACTTTAATTTTCTTCTGAAATCTCTATGGTATTTTTTAAATCTTTCAGCACATATAAAAATAAAATTAGAAGGCATGCAAAAGTTGAAACTATTTCTTACCAAAGTCCAGTCTATCTTTCTGGTTTCTCTGAAGCAAACCCAAAAGGAGATTAGCCAAGTAAGGTGATGTTTCTCTTGGAATACTGGGGGAAAGAAAAAAAAACAACCATCTGAGTGGTAAGTTCATACATATAAATGACGTTAACTTTTGCCTTCCACATAGAAACTAAAACATATATGTGGTTTCACAAATACCAATACATTTATACCAAGAAGACCATGTAAGACTCATCTAAAGAAAAAAAAAAGCACTAAACAACTATCTTTGAGAAACAGCATCAAATTGAGAAGATTCCTGTATTGTGCTTATTCTTGTTCAAGTATCTGCAGGAATAAAGCATCTCAAAAGCCCAATGTTGAGTTTTAGCATAACCTCAACCTTGCACTAATAGTTGCTATAGTGTTCTCTATTACAAAATAGCCACTTCGCTTTCTGTCTGGAAAAGGGCAGCACTTAAATACAAGTGAGAACTAACACAACTTTGTAACATCCAATATGAAAACAAGCAATAGGAAAATGAGTTAAGTAATAGGAGTACACAATTCAAAGAATAAGAATTACAAAAAAAAATATTAAACAGGCTGGGCACAGCATCTCACGCCTGTAATCCCAGCACTTTGGTAGGCTAAGGTGGGTAGATCACTTGAGGTCAGGAGTTCAAAACCAGTTTGGACAACATGGTGAAACTCTGGTAAAAATAAAAAAATTAGCCAGGCGTGGTGATGTCTGCCTGTAATCCCAGCTACTTGGGAGGCTGAGGCAGGAGAATGGCTTGAACCCGGGAGGCAGAGGTTGCAGTGAGCAAAGATCGTGCCACTGCACTCCAGCCTGGGTGACAGAACAAGACTCTGTCTCAAACAAACAAACAAAAAAAGTGGCCAGGCACAGTGGTTCACGCCTGTAATCCCAACACTTTGGGAGGCCGAGGCAGGCAGATCACGAGATCAAGAGATCAAGACCATCCTGGTCAACATGGTAAAACCCCATCTTTACTAAAAATACAAAAATTAGCTGGGCATGGTGGCATATGCCTGTAGTCCCAGCTACTTGGGAGACTGAGGTAGGAGAATCACTCAAACCCGGGAGGTGGAGGTCGATATGAGCCAAGATCTCGCCACTGCACTCCAGCCTGGGCAAAAAAGCGTGAAACTTTGTATCAAAAAAAAAGATATTGAACAAATACAAAGAGCCAAGCCAAATTCACCAATGAAGAGAAAAATGCAAATTAAATTAACAGCTAACTTGTCCTCATGCATTTGTAAGGCATCAAATCTAACATTCCATGTTGGTAAAAATGAGGGGAAAAGAACAGTCTTCTATCTTGCCGTATTCACTGGGATAGCCTACTTGGAAAGCATCTCTTTTGGTCTGACAATTCCACTTCTAGGAGTCCATCCTAATAAAATGCACACATACACAAAGGTATACACACACACACACACACACACACACACACACACACATTTACTAGAGCCTAATTAAATTATACATTTATAGTAACCAAAAAATGAAAACAAGGACCTAATTAAATAAAATAACATACATCTATGGGACTCTCTGTGGCATTTAAAAGCATAGAGTGAATCAAGTATGGTGGCTCATGCTTGTAATCCCAACACTTTAGGAGACTGAGGCAGGAGGAGCACTTGAGGTCAGGAGTTCGAGACCAGCCCAGCCAACATGGTGAAACCCCATCTCTACTAAAAAAAAAAAAAATTACAAACATTAGCTGGGCACAGTGGCAGGCACCTGCAGTCCCAGCTACTAGGGAGGCTGAGGCAGGAGAATCGCTTAAACCTGGGAGGCTGGGGCTGCAGTGAGCCGAAATCTAGCCTGGGAGACAGAGGAAGACTCTGCCTCAAAAAAAAAGCATACAGTGGCTCTCCACATCCTGTTGTGGAACATCATCTGTGGTATATTACAAAGTAAAAAACAATACGCTGCAAACAACTCAAAAAATAAGATGTAATTTCTCTTAAACTATGCGTGTATATAAATACATACATAAACAAGCACTCACCTCATGACACAAGTTCAGGAGAGAAAAAAAAGAGAACAAGCACTCAAACACGTATAAAGAATTCCCACAAAAACAACATAGAAAGAGACACAGCAAACTCTTGTTACCCATAAAGAAGATAGCAAAGCTGGAGGGAATTCACTTTCTACTTTACATGCATCTATTCTGTCCACATAACACTCCTCACAAGGAACACATGTAACTTCTGTACTTTTTTCTTTTTTTTGAGACAGAATTTTGCTCTTCTTGGCCAGGTTGGAGTGCAATGGTGCAATCTCGGCTCATTGCAACTTCTACCTCCTGGGTTCAAGTGATTTTCCTGCCTCAGCCTCCCAAGTAGCTGGGATTACACGCGTGTACCACCATGCTCAGCTAATTTTGTATTTTTGGTAGAGATGGGGTTTCTCCATGTTGGTCAGGTGGGTCTCAAACTCCCGACCTCAGGCGATTCATCCACTTCAGCCTCCCAAAGTGCTGGGATTACAGGTGTAAGCCACCACATCTGGCCACCTTTTTCTTTTAAATTTACTTTACATTTTAAAAAGGAAAGAAAAGAGTACAGCACTACACAGATACCTATAATGTGCCAGCAATTTTCTAATTTCTTGTTATAACAAATCCTTTCACGTTACTATCAACTGAAAAAGAATTCAATAATGAGAATACATAAAACGCATAAAAACACATACAATAAACAACACTCTGTTCACAAATAGTAAAACCCAGTGTAATCTAAACACATACCTAGGCATTAAGCTCCTGTTTTTTTCATAAAACATCCTTAAGTCTTGAGGACTATTGGCCTATTAAAAAAAAAAAGGTTTAATTTCCTAAACAATGGGAGCAAAACTTCCAAATCATATGATTGACGCTCATATTTTTTTTAAGGGATTGAGGGAGTGGGAGTTTCAAGAAAAGGATTGAGGGGAAAGTACGAGGGAGGAGGAAAGGAAAGACAGACGATGCTCATGTTCTTGCTACAGAACATAAATTCTCAACTTGAAAGCCACAAATTGCTGAAGGAGCCATAACTGGTCATTAGGAACTCATAAAACCTGTGAAATTGTGTGAAAATTTTGCACATTTGAGTATAATGTATCTTTTTTGAGGTACCTTTTTCAAGGTCAGTCTCTCAGGAGTCTGAAACTTAGAATAGATTAAGGACCACTATTCTGAAGGTTACATGACCTGCCCAATACGTAGATTATTGTTGTGTGAAATTCAGGTGTACTCTACCTTAGGAGCCTAAAGGAATTCAAAGAAAAGAACTATGTATACTGCTACTATTCAGTCTCTCCACACCAACAAGTAGCTGATAACAACAGCTACCGACTTAGTGAAGCCTCCTCTATATGCAAACTAGACTAAGAAATTAAAAGTGTTTAACTTGGCTGTGTCACTAATCTTCTTAATATTATCTTGGGCAAATATTTTCACTTTGTTCCAGTTTTCAAATTCAAAGATCTTTTTTGTAACATAAGAAATTATAACATGGCGGCTGGGCATGGTGGCTCACGCCTGTAATCCAAGCACTTTGGAGGCCAAGGCGGGCGGATCACCAGAGGTCGGGAGTTCAAGACTAGCCTGACCAACATGGTGAAACCACGTCTTTATTTTTAAAAAAAGAAATTATAGCATGGCAATATTAACTCAAAAGAAATCATTGTGATTATATTCTACAGGGTCACTTTTTGACAGGATATTGGAGGAGAGGAGGAAAAGACAGACTCATAATAATTTCCATAAAGCGTATATAATTACCTCCCTCTCACCTAGCAGTGTCAGGAACAGACAGTTACAGGTGGTTTCCAGTGATCTCCCCAGACCACCCCCAGCCCTCATGTGGATTCCAGGCTAAGCAGGAAGCTCTGGTGTCACCATTCACACCCATTTCCCAGCAGGCTGTTTTATCCCTGACCCCAGCTAGTTTTTACTAGCCCGGAAAACATATAACAGGCTTCATGCCCAGTTCAACTACAAAGGGCAGGCAAAAAAAAGGGGAAAAGCAAAGGATGTTCTGAGTCATTAACACAGTTTTTGCCTATAACAGAATCAAAGTAAGTCACAGAGAAGCCAAAAACACTGCTTTCAAAGTATTCTTCATTTTACAAATCAAAGGCAACTATATAATGAGAAGGTTCCAAAACTGAGGACATAAGAAAAAAATCAGGCTACCTGAAAAGGTGGTTTTCCAACTAGGCATTGGTATATGACTGTTCCTATGCTCCACAAGTCAGCCTTAGCATCATAATGTTGAGACATAATAACTTCAGGAGCCTAGGTACAGAGAAATTTAAGGGGTATGGAGTATGTTATTCACATAATTAATATGCACATCTTAATTAACTCGTTAAAATGACACTCCTAACAAACTACCAGAATAAAACAACACCCTGTAATAGTTCTCTAATCAAATAACTTAGAACTATGTAATTATATATTGAGATTTACTAGTAAATCTCAAAAACAATGCTGCATGAAAAGACGCAGTTATAGAAACAAATGTTTCAACTGATTATAATGGACACATAAAGTCCAATGACAGGACTGAAATAATAATAAAGAAAAATACACACCAATTATAGGACAGAGGATCCCTCAGGTACGTGAGAGAAGCAGAAGAGGAAAGGTGCAAAGGAACTTTGGCTGTTTCCAAAATATTTTATTTCTTTTAAAAACAAGAGCAACATACCCAGACACCAGGCCAGAAAAAAAAAAAAACAAGATCAAGACAAACATGGCAAAATGTTAACTTTGTGAAATATGGATGGTGGGTATACGGGTGTTTGCTATATTATTCCCTATGTTTTTTGTAATCTGAACACTTTCATAGTAACAGAAAAACTATGATGCAAAACCTCACACAATAATAAAAATTGTCCTAAAAGCAAAACCATTTATCTGCTGCTTTGTTACAGGTATTTTCAGACCTCTCATCAAATTCTGCTTTTTAAATATATCATTAATCAGCACTATTAAATAGAAATGGAAAATACACTTAAAGATAGTAAGTTTTATTTCCCAGATGTAACATTTATTTTCAATTTTAATTCCCTTTGGAAATCGGGTCTTTCTGTGTCCACAGCTAGCCATGAATTCCTGGGCTCCAGCAGGCCTCCTGCCTCAGCCTCCTGAGTAGCTGAGTTTAAAGGCATGCATCACTATACACAGCTTAGACATAACATTTTTATTTTCCCTAGTAAATTGCTTATTAAGTCAATTTCTTTTAATAATCAGCCAAAGCACTGTAACCTCATGGCTAAACTAATTTTGCACTCAAGAAGTACAAAGTATCTTGCATTAGAACTGAATCATTTTCTTAAAAAAAAAAAGAAAAAAATAAAGAAGTACAAAGTAATTTTAAAATTTACATAAAATTCTAAAATTTATTATATATAAGCAGTAAAATTAGGATCAAGAAAGTAAAGCTGATAAATTTTTTTGAAATGTGATTACTAGTTCAAAATTGATTTTAGTTTAGAGAAATTTCTAATTTAATATAAACCCATTTTAAACTTAGAACTAAAATAGGGACATTTATTTCACATAATTCTGAAGCTCTAGAATTAACATATTTCCAGACTAAATGCTGCACATTAGTTTACAAGTTTCATAGCCTAACCCTATAATATATAATGATATCTGTATGAGAGGATAAAGGGGAAAGCTGATATTTTTCAGCTTTGAGTGTGAGGCTGATGGAAAAAACATTTATAATATAGGGATCCTGTCAAAAGAGTTAACATGCAAAAGATGAGCACCTTACAGCTGAAGAACTGCTCGCAGAAGGTGTTTGTTAAGCATTCCTAGTATTATACATTATGTACAGCATGGCTATTCTTGATGAATTTTTATTTTTGAATTAATGGATTTGTGCCATAACTAATTTTTTTCTAAAAATAAAAACAAATGGGCAAAAATGACTTACTTTTACAGTCCACTATGCTAAAGCAAAAGATGCCTGTATTATAGCATCATCAGTAATAGAATCAACATTAGGAATAACAACTTGGACTATATGTAAAATCACATCTTATTTGGAATCAAGTATTATATTTAAATTCCAATGCTTATGGAGCCACACTTTAAACACACAAGGATGCAAACACCCACTCACCATGTACATGGGGGATCCACACAGTGTTGCAGCCATCATGTTACTGTGTAGGTAACGAGCAAAACCAAAATCCGCTATTTCACAAAATAAAAAGTAGAAAAGCAAATGATACCTTTGTTCATACCTAGCATATATGATTCTTCAAGACACAAGAAGGCACAAAGGACTATGAAAAATAAACAGCTTATTGAATAAGACTGTCCACCAAAGAAAAAAGTAGCTACCTTGATTTCAACAAGCTAAAAATAGTAGTCATCATCAACTGTACAAGTCATTGCTCTGCCAGATTTGTAACCAAGGTGCACCAAGCTTTGCAGGTGAAAATACTAATTATAATAAGTTCATTAATAAAGCTTTCATTAAATATCAATACCAGATGTAGAATGTGAACAATTATGTTTTTCTTTTCTTTTTTTTTTTTTCTTGTTTGAGGCAGAGTCTCGCTCTGTTGCCCAGGTTGGAGTGCAGTGGTGCAATCTCAGCTCACTGCAACCTCTGCCTCCTGGGTTCAAGCAATTCTTCTGCTTCAGCCTCCCGTAGCTGGGACAAGAGGCATGAGCAACCACACCCAGCTAATTTGTGTAATTTTAGTAGACGGGGTGTCACCATATTGGCCTGGTTTTGAACTCCTGACCTCATGATCTGCCCACCTAAGCCTCCCTAAGTACTGGGATTACAGACTTGAGCCACTGTGCCCAGCCAACTATGTTTTCTTTATTGTTCTTTATTTTCTTTATTGTTATTCAAATCCTTTTGAGATACTGCTAAAAAAGAAAAAACTGCCAAGGGCTAAACTAGATGGTCTCTGAGATCCCTATGTCAAAAGCCTAGGAACTGTAAAGAATCAGGGTTAATTTGCTGCCAGTAACCACACCACATCAATTTCCCACTCAAGAGAAGCAGGTATTCATAGTTAGAGTTCTCGATGTGGGTCTGTCAGCACTGCTTGAGATTTAGCAGACACTGTCAATAAAGTTAAGGATTCACCTATCTAAGCAACCTCCACAACCTCAATAAAAATATCAAACTGCATCAATAAAATCCATCATTTGGCTAGGCGTGGTGGCTCACACCTGTAATCTCAGCACTTTGGGAGGCTGAGACGGGCAGATTGCCTGAGGTCAGGAGTTCGAGACCTGCCTGGCCAACATAGTGAAACCCTTTCCCTATTAAAATACAAAATTTAGCTGGGCATGGTGGTGCATGCCTGTAATCCCAGCTACTCAGGAGGTTGAAGAAGAATCACTTGAACTCAGGAAGCCTAGGTTGCAGTGAGCTGAAATCACACCACTGCACTCCAGCCTGGGCAATAAGAGCAAAACTCCCAATAAAAGGAAAAAAAAAATAATCCATCATTCAACAAAGCTAAAGTTGTCTAAAAATAGTTTCAAAAATGTTCTTTCCACAACGCAATACATGGCAATTTACCTATTTTGATGAGAATACCACTGACACTTGACTTTCTGCGATTGACATAGGACAGCAAGATGTTCTGTGGTTTGAGATCTCTGTGGATGATTCCTTTGCTGTGCAGGATTCTCATGGCAGCTGCAATCTGATGCAGAAACACTCTGATAGTGTCTTCGCTGAGAGTTCCTTTCACTGGTATAAAAGGAGTCACGTAAATATTTAAGCACACAAAATCAAATTCCATCTGCATATTCCAACAACATCGCTGAGTTGTAAAGGAAAGTATGAAGGGAATAAGGAATCCTTATTAACATTTATTCATTTTTAACTTTAATAATTGAAGTCTATGAAGAAATACCAGATTTCTCAAGACTTGAAATCAATCTGTTGTAAACAGAACTGACTGGCTCTTTCATCTTTTGTTTCACCTGTGTCTTTTGCTTTTCCCTTCCTGTTTTTACTGCTGAAGGTGCCCACGTGACTTTGAACACCACAGGTACTCAATAAACATGAATCCCCTTTACCAGCCAAAAACTAAGTTCCCCTTCATATTAGTCAAATATCTGGAATAAGTGTCCATATTTAATTCTAACCATTATGTGAGCACAAATGAAAAACAAGTAAAATCCTTGACCAGAGGGACCTGGATACTACTCCTACCCGTAGCTGTGAGACATCTATGTTCCTGCATCTTCTCTATCCTTTTCTCTCCCACGTACCTGTCCCACCATAATATCTTTCATAACTAAAGATACCCCAAGAATAAATGTTTTAACCTATTTCACCACTATAAAGAGGTGATATGAGCTGGGCGCAGTGGCTCATGCCTGTAATCCCAGCACTTTTGAAAGGCCGAGGTGGGTGGATCATGAGGTCAAGAGATCAAGACCATCCTGGCCAACATGGCCAACTCCCCACCTCTACTAAAAACACAAAAATTAGCTGGGTGTGGTAGTGCATGCCTGTAGTCCCAGCTACTCGGGAGGCTTGAGGCAGGAGAATCACTTGATTCTCGGGAGACGGAGGTTGCAGTGAGCCAAAACAGTGCCATTGCACTCCAGCCTGGTGACAGACCTAGACTCCGTCTCAAAAAAAAAAAGAAAATCCCTCTGTGCCATATATAAAACTTGATGAGACTAACTACATGAGGCTGACATGATGATTAAATAAAATCCATTTAATAATGAAAACTTGCAGCTGGGCGCAGTGGCTGAGGCCTGTAATCCCAGCACTTTGGGAGGCTGAGGGTGGGCAGATCACAAAGTCAGTAGTTCAAGACCAGCCTGACCAACATGGTAAAATCCCATTATCTAATAAAAATACAAAAAAAATTAGCTGGTGTGTGGCACACACCTGTAATCCCAGCTACTCAGGAGGCTGAGGCAGGAGAATCACTTGAACCTAAAAGGCGGAGGTTGCAGTGAGCTGAGATGGTGCCACTGCACTCCAGCCTGGTGTCAGAGTGAGATTCTGTCTCAAAAAATAAGTTAATAATGAAAACTTGTGCTCATTTCAGCAGCACATATATTAAAATGAGAATACAGAGATTAGCAAAAATAAATTTATATTAAAACCTTTAAAAAATATGAAAACTTTAGAAAAAGTTTTACACATAATAAATATTTCAATGTATTAAGTATGCAAATAAGTTTATTATAATGAGTCTAAAAGTCACAAGTGTAATTCCTTACCAACACTAAGGATTTAATATCCATGAACCTATTTAAATTATTTGTGAATGCATGTCTGTTCATGTAATTCTTAGAAAATGTTTACATAACATATTCCATTTGCAAATAAGAGAAATAACATTAATACATGGAACAAGTGCAATATTATGGTTTTAAAATCATTGTAATGACCTGTCAAGTAATACATGTCCTTAACATCTTCAAATAAAATAAATCTTTATGGTTTAAAAATTAGCAAATATGCCAAGTGCTGTGGCTCATGCTTGTATTCCCAGTTCTTAGGGAGGCAGAGGCAGGAGGATAGCTTGAGCCAAGGAGTTCAAGACCTGCCTGGGCAATATATCGAGACCCCGTTCTCCACGAAAAGGAAAAAAACAAAAAAATTATCAAATATGGCCCAATGCATGGTTCACGCCTGTAATCCCAGCACTTTGGGAGGCCATGGCAGACTGATTGCTTAAGCCCAGGAGTTTGAGGCCAGTCTGGGCAACATGGTAAGACTCATCTCTACCAAAAAAAAACAAAAAATTAAGGCCAGGCACAACTGCTCACACCTGTAATCCCAGCACTTTTAGAGGCCAAGGTGGGCCAATCACCTGAGCTCAGGAGTCTGAGACCACCCTGGGTAACATGGTGAAACCCCACCTCTACTAAAATACAAAAAATTAGCCAGGCGTGGTGGCACACATCTGTAGTCCAGCTACTCAGGAGGCTGAGGCACGAGAATTGCTTGAGGCCAGGAGGCAGAAGCTACAGTGATATGAGATTGAGCCACTGCACTCCAGCTTGAACTACAGAGTAAGATGCCATCTCAAAAAAAAAAATTAAAATTAAAAAAATTTTTTAATCATCAGGTATTTTTTTTCTGTGTGGGCTGTTCTTAACCTGTTCTTTTTTCTCTCTTTCTTTTTTTTAAAAAGATGGGGTTTCACCATGTTGGCCAGGCTGGTCTTGAACTCCTGACCTCTGGTGATCTGCCCGCCTCAGACTCCCAAAGTGCTGAGATTACAGGCGTGAGCCACCACACCCAGCCCCTTAACCTGTTCTTAACCTATCTTCCCTTTTTTCCATTTTTATTTTTTTTCTTCTAACTACCAAATTCAGGACAATGGCTGCCTCTAGGGAAAGCACAGGAATGGGACTGCAGAATGGCTTACAGGGAGCTTCAACTTTATTTATAATTTCTTGTTTTTCTTTCTTTTGTTTTTTTTGAGACAGAGTCTTGCTCTATCACCTAGTCTAGACTAATGAAATGGCGTGATCTCGGCTCACTGCAACCTCTACCACCCAAGTCCAAGCAATTCTCCTACCTCAGCCTCCCAAGTAGCTAGGACCACAGGCATGCACCACCATGCCAGACTACTTTTTACATTTTTAGTGGAGACAGGGTTTCACCATATTGAACAGGCTGGTCTCGAACTCCTGACCTCAAGTGATCTGCCCACCTTGGCCTCCCAAAGTGCTGAAGTTACAGGCGTGAGACACCACGCCCAGCCTATAATTCCCTTGTAAATAGTGGTGGGGGTTCGATACCAGTATTCTTTACACTTTTCTCTACACAGCTTTTGAATGCTAGCAATATTCTATATTTCAAATATTTCTGAATCACACCCCAATTACTAGGTGAAATTGAACATTAACATGTTATCTTTTGTAAACTGTCCACACTCTTTGTGTATGCATCAATTGAGGTCTTAGTGCTTTTACCATCAACTGCCATAATCTACTTATAGGTTGAATGTATTAACCTTTTGCTGTCTTTTTGAGTATTCCCCCTGCAACTTTTAAGGGGTGAACAAGTAGGTGTTGGCTACTTGTTAAAGAAATATTAAAAGAAAATATTCTGGGCCGGGCGCAGTGGCTCACGCCTATAATCCCAGCACTTTGGGAGGCCAAGGAGGGTGGATCATGAGGTCAAGAGATCAAGACCATCCTGGTCAACAAGGTGAAACCCCGACTCTACTAAAAATACAAAAATTAGCTAGGCATGGTGGTGCATGCCTGTAGTCCCAGCTACTCGGGAGGCTGAGGCAGGAGAATTGCTTGAACCCAGGAGGTGGAGGTTGCGGTGAGCCAAGATCATGCCATTGCACTCCAGCCTGGGTAGCAACAGCGAAACTCCATCTAAAAAAAAAAAAAAAAAAAGAAAAGAAAAGAAAATATTCTGGAGGGACATAATTTGATCTGAATATCCTACATGTATGCATTTCGGGTTCAGAATTTCAAGCACCATCTAACACTAAAATCTGTACTTCTGTACCACAGAATACTGTAAGGTCTTATAATGTTTTTTGTTGCCTTTTTTTTAATTACAAGAAATGTTCACAAAAATATATTCTTGGATATATTTTTCACTATAATTTTTTTATTTTGAAAGAAATGAAAAGGACTAAAACTCAGTCAAGCCTTTTGAAGGAGAGGAATTCTATCTGGTTTCTTCTCTCCTTGGGACAGGCCCATATCTCAAACACTGTCAGAGGTAACAAAAAGGTAAACACTGATATAAAAGTAAAGCTTAGGAACAAAACTACAACCAACACCAACTTGGCTACAAAGTTACCACAAGTCAAACACAAATCTTTATTGAATGTTTCTATACAAGAGCAGAAAATGGGTAGTGTAATTCAGAAGTACCTCTCAGCATTAAACAGATTGCAGCACTATCTTTGTTGAAAACTGACACATAGACAAAATTACCTTGCAAATAATCTGCGAGGTCTCCACCATTGCAATACTGACATAGAAAAGAGAAAGTAATGAAAATAAGGATAGTGATTCAAGATTAATTCAATCCATTGTCAACTGTGATTAAAAAATCATTTGCATATAATGTAATGTAAATCTAATCTAAAAACATTATAGATTCAAAATTTTAAAAATTTTAAATTCCTTGAGTAGAATTGAGATCACTAAATCAACTTTATTAATACAAAAATTAAAATAATTTATCTACTGCCAATTCTAAAGTACATATTAATCAAAGGGATTTGAAATATGCAGATTTATGCTAGAATCTAAAAAAAAAAAAGATATTTGAAATAAATTCAACAGAAATTTGCATACTACCTACCTCCATCACCAAAAAGACAGAGTTGGGTAATTCCTGAAAAGTAAACATATTAAATACAATTTAGAGAAAAATTAAACACAAAATTTAAAGATAATGATAGTTAAAAATACCATACTTGTTCATTATTAAAACTGATAAAATGAAATCACAAAATCTATTAGAAAGTGAAATAAAAATTCCCAACACAATGATGTATCTCCTCTAGAAAGCCAGATCAACTTTTAGTAACACTAATGTAGTCATCAAGAAGTAAAATTTTGTTTAGCAAAATAACTAGAGAAAAATTCAACTTTTGGTTATGATTGATCTAAAACAACAGATATAAGACAAAAAGCATGGCAAATTTACAATGGGGAAAAAAAAGGAAGGATTCTTTGCTCCTTGGGGAAACACTTCCACTTTGAAAAGTTTATGATTTGGCCGGGCATAATGGCTCATGCCTATAATCCCAGCACTTTGGGAGGCCGAGGCGGGTGGATCACGAAGTCAAGAGATCAAGACCATCCTGGTCAACAAGGTGAAACCCCGTCTCTACTAAAAATACAAAAATTAGCTGGGCATGGTCGTGCGCGCCTGTAGTCCCAGTTACTCGGGAGGCTGAGGCAGGAGAATTGCTTGAACCCAGGAGGCGGAGGTTGCGGTGAGCCGAGATCATGTCATTGCACTCCAGTCTGGGTAACAACAGCAAAACTCCATTTCAAAAAAAAAAGAAAAAAAAGTTTATGATTTGGAGCAGTAAAATGTCATAATCCTCCCTAGAAACACTAAATGCACAATCTGATTTCTGGAATACATGACTCAGGATGCCTGGTTTTCTGTTTTTCTGGGTTTTTTTTGTTTATTTGGGGCAATTACATTATCAGGAATTGTTGGCAAAGGGAAATGCTTTATCACATTACCAACACATGTTCTAAAATGTTAAGGAAATGAATTGAGGGCTCTTCAAAAGTCTCTGCTGGTAAGTAAGTCAAAGATTGATTAGCTGGCTCTTCAATGGCAATTTTTATAATGATAACTAAATTTTAGATTGGGCTTCCCTACGGCTTAACTTGAGCCAGTGTGCAAACGTGATTCAAAACACAACTTTTGGGCTGGGTGCAGTGGCTCACACCTGTAATCCCAACACTTTGGGAGGCTGAGGTGGGCAGATCACCTGAGGTCAGGAGTTCAAGACCAGTCTGGATAACATGGTGAAAGCCCATCTCTACTAAAAACACAAAAAAATTAGCCAGGCATGGTGGTATGTGCCTGTAATCCCAGCTACTGCTGCGGCTGAGGCATGAGAATCACTTGAGTGGGGAGGTAGAGGTTGCAGTGAGCTGAGATTGCGCCACTGCACTCCATCCAGCCTGGGCAACAGAATGAGACCCTGTCACAAAATAAATAAATAAATAATAAAAATTTAAGTCTTGAAGGACACACAACAGTATTTTCTTCTGAAAAAAAGGAAATACAGAGGCATAAGAAGAGGGCATCTCTTTTTTACTTCATATACTGCTTGACTATTTGAAATGTTTTTATACTGATGGTCATTTACTTTTGTAATTTAAAAAAACAATAAATTCTTTTTAAAAGTCAAATAGCATGAGTAGGTGGTTCTCTCCAGTAGAATTCAGAGGCCTAGAAGCAGAAATAGAGAAAAAAGCAGCATGATACAAAGCAATAGAAAAGAAGTAAATGATAAGCCAGACAATTCAAAAGAAAAATTCCTGGTTTCTTTTTTATTTTAAAGTGATACTTTTAAAAATTTTTTGTTTTAATTTTTTTTTTTCTTCTTGAGACAGGGTCCCGCTCTGTCACCCAGGCTGAAATGCAGTGATGTGATGTTGGCTCACTGCAACCTCCGCCTCCAGGGTTCAAACAAGTCTCCTGCCCCAGCCCCCCAAGTAGCTAGGACCACAAGTGCACACCACCAAGCCCAACTAATTCTTATTATTTTTAATTTAACATTTTTAATATTAAATGTAATATTAATAATATTAAATTTTAACATTTTTTCTAGAGACAGGGTTTTGCCATGTTGCCCAGGCTGGTCTTGAACTCCTGGACTCAAGCAATCTGCCCACCTTGGCCTCCCAAAGTGCACCTGGGAGGCATTAGCCACTGCACCTGGCCTAATTCCTGATTTCTAAAACCCAAATCCTCACATCTCTCTGCTATATTTCTTAATTCATTCTCTACCCCTCAGGAAACTTCTATGGTTTATCTCACAGAAAAAGAGAAAGAAAACATTCCTACAATCCTTGGGTTTATTTCCCTTGGTGTTACCTGGAATTAGACTGCCTTACAGCATGACTAACTAGCATTGGAATTATCATCCACACTTTGGTGAGAGGGTGGTTTTAACATGGAAAAGCAGTTTGCTCAAGATCCTAAGTTAAGTTGAGTTTGCTAATAAAAACAGTACTCTAAGCCCGTTTCCTATTCACATCCATGGCTCTTCCTCTCAGATCATTTCTTAGTCTATTTAGGCTGCTAAATTTTCATAACAAACTAGCATAGACTGGGTGGTTGAAAACAGAAATGTATTTCTCACAATTCTGGAGGTTGGGAAGTCCATCAAGGCAGAAGCAAATTTGGTGTCTGGTGAAGGCCCACTTCTGGTTCAGACAGCTGTCTTCTCACAATAAGGACACATAGTGGAAAGAGCAAGGGAGCTTCCTCTGGGGTCTCTCATAAAGGCACTAATATCTCATTCATGAAGGCTCTACCCTCATGATCTAATTGAGGCCCCACCTCCTCATAGCATCACCTTGAGGGATAGGATTTCAACACAGGAATTTTGGAGAGATGTGAACATTGACACCATAGCAGATCTTTAAGTTCTACAAAACTTAAAGACGCAAAATACAATATATAAAAGCCAGTTCTAGCTTCCTGACCTAACACAAACCCAACATAGGTTTATGGAAAAACTCTCCCTTAACATGTATCTCAGTAATACTAATTACACCAAAGGCTGCAAAAATATTCAGAATATATAACACTGATTTATATACAAATTTATAAACTGATACTCACCTAATCCAACCCTGATTTGCTATAATTCTTCAAATTCCCTAAGTCCTAACTCTTTTTAACGGTCTTATAAAAGATACCTTCTTCTGTAGTTATTCTCAAAAACAGGTAGGTATCTGGGATAATTGGTTGGGCTTTCTAAAAAATAAGTTAAGTCTCTATATTATCCTTGGTATATAACTGAATTCCAGAGATCAAAAATATAAATATGAAAACTTGAAACCCTATTTACTAGATTAAAACATGGGAGATTATTTTCACAAGCTCAGGGTAAAAAAATTCTTCTAAAATATGAAATTTAGGGGTCATTAAAGAACAGGTTGGATAAGTTCTACCATGTAGAAACTTTCCTATATTAAAAAGAGGCAGCCAGGCACAGTGACTCATGCCTGCAATTGCAGCACTTTAGGAGGCCAAGGTGGGCAGATCACCTGAGGTCGGGAGTTCAAGACCAGCCTGACCAACATGACAAAATCTCCTTTTTAAAAATACAAAATTAGCAAGGTGTGGTGTATCTAAAAATACAAAATTAGTCAGGTATGTTGGCACATTCCTGTAATCCCAGCTACTCTGGAGGCTGAGGCAGGAGAATCGCTTGAACCTGGGAGGTGGAGGTTACAGTGACCCGAGATTGTGCTATTGCACTCCAGTCTGGGTAACAAGAGCAAAACTGTCTCAAAAAAAAAAGAGGCTAAAGTAAGACACACACCCCCAAAATACCAGAAAAAATGGGGAAAATATCTCAAAACATGACAAAGAGCTAGCAACTCTGATTCCCTCTTGTTTACCTCCTACTTGGGCACCTCAAGTGCCCAAGTCCTATCAATTCTATCTCTTAAACATCTCACCAATCTGTCCAGGCCTCTGTCACCACTGATGCCATCATTCTCTCTTATCCAGATATATATATATATATTTCTTTTTAATAACAGTATACACTGAGCACGGTGGTTCAGGCCTGTAATCACAGCTACTCAGGAGGCAAAGGCAGAAAGATTGCTTGAGCCCCGGAGTTAGAGGCTGCAATGAGAGATGATGGTGCCACAGAAGAAATGCACTCCAGCCTGAGTAATAGAGTGAGACCCCAATTCTAAATAAGTATTTAAAAATAAAAATAAATGTACAGTTCAATGTGTTGTGACAAATGTTTACACCTATGTATCTACCATGCCAATCAAAATATATAACAATTCTATCACCCCAAAAGTTCTCTTATGCCCCTTTGCCATCAGTCCCTGAGACCAAGGGGCAACCTCTGTTCTGATTTCTATCACCCTAGCTTACTTCTGACTCCTCCAAAATTCACAAAAACAGAATAATACTATAGCAATATATGCCAGGCTTCTTCTTCTTTTTTTTTTTTAAATTTTTATTTTTGAGACGGAGTTTTGCTCGTTACCCAGGCTGGAGTGCAATGGCGCGATCTCGGCTTACTGCAACCTCCGCCTCCTGGGTTCAGGCAATTCTCCTGCCTCAGTCTCCCAAGTAGCTGGGATTACAGGCACGCACCACCATGCCCAGCTAATTTTTTGTATTTTTAGTAGAGACGGGGTTTCATCATGTTGACCAGGATGGTCTCGATCTCTTCACCTCATGATCCACCCGCCTCAGCCTCCCAAAGTGCTGGGATTACAGGCTTGAGCCACCGCACCCGGCCCTATGCCAGGCTTCTTTTTCTCAAAACAATATTTGAGATTCACGTTATAACAAGGATCGTTTGTTCCTTTTTATATATGTCAATTTGTTCATTGCATTATTTACTATAAAACGAGTTTTAAATTTTTTTATATGTCCCTACTACAGCTGCTGAGTTTCTTATCTGGATTTAAAATGTCTTTCTGGCTGGCATGGTGGCTCATGCCTGTAATCCCAGCAGTTTGGGAGGCTGAGGCGGGCGGATCAACTGAGGTCAGGAGTTCAAGACCAGCCTGGTCAACATGGAGAAACCCCAACTCTACTAAAAGTACAAAATTAGCCAGGAGTGGTGGTGCATGTCTATAATCCCAGCTACTCGGGAGGCTGAGGCAGGAGAATCGCTTGAACCCACGAGGCGGAGGGTGCAGTAAGCCAAGATCACACCACTACACTCCAGCCTGAGCAACAAGAGCAAAACTCTATCTCAAAAAAAAAAAAGGCCAGGCGCGGCAGCTCACGCCTGCAATCCCAGCACTCTGGGAGGCCGAGGTGGGTGGATCACCAGAGTTCAGGGGCCTGACCAACATGGAGAAACCCCATCTCTACTAAAAATACAAAATTAGCTGGGTGTTGTGGCAAACACTTGTAATCCCAGCTACTCAGGAGGCTGAGGCAGGAGTACGGCTTGAACCTCAAAGGTGGAGGTTGTGGTGAGCCAAGATTGTGCCACTGCGCTCCAGCCTGGGCAACAAGAGCAAAACTCCATCTCAAAAAAAAAAAGTCTTTCTATTCCTTGGATTATACAATCATCTAAATATTATTCTGAGACTGTTATTGTTTATATATTTAACCCTTTAATTCATTTGGAAATTATTTTGGAAAATAATTCAGTTCCAATTCTATTTTTTGTAAGATGTCTCAGTTTTACAAGCACCATCTATTAAATGAATCATTTTTCTTGCTGTACTAAAAATTACCAAGAGGTCGATATTTAACCAGACCACTGACAATCATGCAGGTAAGTATTCCTAAGTGAAAGTACTTATGCTCAGAGTGCTCTAGGAGATTTATCTTTTGAAAAACAAAAATAGTATCACTCTCCTGCTTTAAAACTCTTCAATAGCTTTGCACTGTCCTTAGGATAAAAGATCAGATCTGGCTCTTGTTAACCTCTCCAATATCACTAACACTTCTCTTGCTCTCATTATTGTACTCTGGACACACTATCCTTCTTCCAGTTCCTCAAACTCCATGATCTCTCCTGTCAGCGGTCTTTACAGAAGGCTTCATCTCCTAGGGAAACCTACTTTATCTTCTCCCACTAACCCCCACCTAAACCTTCTCCCACTCATCCCTCACATCTCTATAGACATCATTTCCCCAGGAAGCCTTCCCTTGTTCCACTTCCCTAGCCCCCATATTGTTTCCTCCAAACCTCTTCACTTCTCCCTGACAGCACTTGGCACACTTATAAATAGTAACTACTAGCCCAGGTGTGGTGGCTCACACCTATAATCCCAGCACTTTGGGAAGCCCAGGTAGGCAGATCACTTACATTCAGAAGTTTGAAACCAGCCTGGGCAACATGGTAAAACCCTGTCTCTACAAAAAACAGAAAAATTAGCCAGGCATGGTGGTGCCTGCCTGTAGTCCCAGATACTTTGGAGGCTGAGGTGGGAGGATGGCTTAAGCCCGGGAGGTAGAGGCTGCAGTGAAGCATGATCATGCCACTGTACTCCAGCCTGGGCAACAGAGTCAGACCCTCTCTCAAAAAAGAAAAAAAGAAACAGTAACTATTTGCTTAATGTCATCTTCCCTAATTTACTGTACATTCCATAATGACAAGGACCATTTCTACTTTGTTCACCATTATACTCCTGTACATCTCATTACCGAGCTCAGTAAAAAAAAAAATGAACACAACCGATGCATCAAAGAACAGCAATGGGAACATCACAGAAGAAATGTAAAAAGACAAATATAGCAAAAAGCTGATCAATACCCTAACAATTTAAGGGAAAAAGAAATCAGCCAGGTCTGGTAGCTCACGCCTGTAATCCCAGAACTTTGGAAGGCCAAGGCACGCGGATTGCTTGAGGTCAGGAGTTCGAGGCCAGACTGCCCAACATGGTGAAACCCTACCTCTACTAAAAATACAAAAATTAGCCAGGCGTGGTGGTGGGCATCTATAACACCAGTTACTCAGGAGGCTGAGGCAGGAGAATTGCTTGAACCCAGGAGGCAAAGGTTGCAGTGAACCGAGATCATACCACTGCACTCCAGCCTGGGCAACAGAGTGAGTGAGACTCCATCTCAAAAATAAATAAATTTTTTAAAAAAGAAATTAAAAAAATTTAGGCTGGGCATGGTAGCTCACACCTGTAATCCCAGCATTTTAGGAAGCTGAAGCAGGAGGATCACTTAAGTCCAGGCATTTGAGACCAACCTGTGCAACACAGTGACTGTTGTCTCTACAAAAATAAGTAAACAAATACAATTTAAAATTTTAAAAAAATATATATTTTCCTAGTATGAGATTATAAAATTTTTTCTTTAAAAGGTCACTACTGGTTAAAAGAACTGATATAGGCTGGGCATAGTGGCTCATGTCTGTAATCCCAGCACTTTGGGAGACTGAGGCAGGTGGACTGCTTGAGGTCAGAAGTTCAAGACTAGCCTGGGCAACAAGGTGAAGCCCCATCTCTATTAAAAATACAGAAACAAAATTAGCCAGGAGTGGTGCTGGGCACCTGTAATCCCAGCTACTCAGGAAGGCTGAGGCAAGAGAATTGCTTGAACCTGGGGGGTGGAGGTTGCAGTGAGCCCAGACTGTCACTGCACTCCAGCCAGGGCAACAGAAAGAATTGGTATCATCTTTTAAAAGACAGCTAGTATCTTTGGCCAAGCAATTCCACTTCAAGGAATTTATTCTATAGGAATGCTATAAAAACACATAAAGATAAAAAAAATAAAAATAAATAAACACATAAAGATATATGTACAGAGATTTCTCTGCAGTACTGCTTTTAATATGGAAAAAATAGAAAACACTCCAAATAACCATAATTGGGTGGTTTTTTAAGAGACAGGACTCACTCTGTCACCCAAGCTGGAGTACAGTGGCCAGTGGCACAATCACAGCTCACTGTAACTTCAATATCCTGGGCTCAAGTGATCCTTCGGCTTTAGCTTCCCAAGAAGCTGGGATTACAGGCATGCGCCACCACATCTGGCTAACTTTATTTTTTTGTAGAGATAGGGTCTCACTATGTTGCATAGGCTGGTCTCGAACTTCTGGCCTCAAGCAATCATATTACTTCAACTTCCCAGAGCACTGAGATTATGGTGTGAGCCACCACACCTGGCTCATAATTGGGTTTTAAGTAAATTATCATTTAGCCCTACAATATGATACTGATTATGAAAATGCATCTAAGATACGTTAAGCTTAATGAAACAAGTTGTATTTCTGTACAAACACTACTAATTCTCTCACAATGAAAAGCTTTAAACACTAAGTATAAAGGTCGGGTACAGTGGTTTACGCCTGTAATCCCAGCACTCTGGGAGGGTGGATCACAAGGTCAGGTGTCTGAGAAGAGTCTGACCAACATGGTGAAACTCCATCTCTACTAAAAACACAAACATTAGCCAGGTGTGGTATAATCCCAGCTACACAGGAGGCTGACGCAGGAGAACTGCTTGAACCCAGGAGGCGGACGTTGCACTGAGCCAAGATCAGGCCACTGCACTCCAGCCTGGGTGACAGAGTAAGACGCTGTCTCAAAAAAAAAAAAAAATAAGTATAAATGGTTATAGATTGATATATGTATTTAGAAAATTCTAAAACAAATATACCAAACAGCGGTTATCTCTGGGAATTGCCATCTCTTTTCTAATTTACCATTTTCATAGTACTTGATTATTTTAACTGTGGGCATACATTACTTTTGTAATTAAAGGAAAAATGCATTTCATTTTAAGTGTCATTTAAAACTGAAAGCTGATTTTTACAATGTCAAAAGTTTTCAATTTGGCAGGGCATGGTGGCTCACGCCTGTAATCCCAGCACTCTGGGAGACCAAGGCAGGCAATCACCTGAGGTCGGGAGTTCAAGACCAGCCTGACCAACATGGAGAAAGCCCATCTCTATTAATAATACAAAATTATCCAGGCATGGTGGTGCATGCCTGTAATTCCAGTTACTGAGGAGGCTGAGGAAGGAGAATCGCTTGAACCCAGGAGGGAGAGGTTTTGGTGAGCCAAGATCGTACCATTGTACCCTAGCCTAGGCAACAAGAGCAAAACTCCATCTTAAAAAAAAATGTTCTCAATTTCTAAACCTCAGACAGATAACCAAAACTAATGCTCAGTAAAAATGACATTTGCTTCAAGTTGGTAAAGTTACTATACTAGTTCCTAAACATACTGTACCCCTTGATGAACAATTTAAATCAAGAAAACAAATGTAGGTTGCGCGCAATGGCCCACGCCTGTAATCCCAACACTTTGGGAGGCCGAGGCAGGTGGATCACAAGGTCAGGTGATCAAGACCATCCTGGCCAACATGGTAAAAGCCCATCTCTACTAAAAATACAAAAACTAGCTGGGCACAGTGGTGTATGCCTGTAATCCCAGCTACTCTGGAAGCTAAGGCAGGAGAATCACTTGAACCAAGAAGTCAGAGGTTGCAGTGAGCTGAGATTGTGCCACTGCACTCTAGCCTGGCGACAGAGCAAGACGCCATCTCAAAAACAAACAAACAAATCTGAAGTATTAGGTTAAGACTCTGCTTATTTAATAGCCAAATGCTCAAAACGTTTGAATGATACTTCCTAAGTTTATTTTCACAAATTAGTTCCAAAGCATTGGTGGTTCAGTGGTAGAACGCTCACCTCCCACGCAGGAGACTCAGGTTTGATTCCTGGCCAATGCAACTCCCGCTGGTTGCCAGGCATTGTAGCCCACACCTGTAATCCCAGCACTTTGGGAGGCTTAGGCAGGTGGACTGCCTGAGGTTAGGAGTTTGAGACCAGCCTGGCAACATGGTAAAAACCCATCTCTACTAAAAATACAAAAATGAGCCAGGCATGGTGGCAGGTAATCCTAGCTACTTGAAAGACTGAGGAGGGAGAACCGCTTGAACCCAGGAGGTGGAGGTTGCACTGAGCTGAGATCTCACCACTGCACTCCAGCCTGGGCAACAAGAGTGAGACTTTGTTTAAAAAAAAAAAAAAATTCCAGTAGTATACAATGTATGAATATAACATTTCAATGCAGTCACCTTGAAATTCCTGACTGTTTAATAATACACATTTTTTAGTATGTTCTCTCTAATGATACCCCATTCTGTAATCAAAGCTGGTACTAAAAAATATTTTTCATTCTGATAGAAAAAAATCTAAGTATACTTTCAAAACAAAACCTACTCTGCAATTGCCATGGTTTTCTGTATCTCTCCAAGATTGGAAAACTTAAGAGTTAACATTATTTAACAGTTTTTGTACTAGGCACTGAGTTGTACCACTTGGTGCCCTCTATCTACAGAGACTAAGACCAACTACACAAACAGCAGTGAGGAGAATCAACATTTCAACTAGGGACTGAGAGATGAGTTTAGTTTTGACATTAAAGTTTCTCCCCTTTTTATACTGCTTTGAATTTCTCAAATGAAGGAATGAATTACAGCTATATGAAAAGATACTAAAATATACCTACTGCATTCACATATTTCATGAATGGAAATTTAAATTGCAATTTTTTTGGAAGGCAATCATACTCTACAATCAAAAACTTTAACACTGTGCATGCTATTTGACTTGGTCTTTCCAATTCTAGAAATTGAAGTTTAATAATCAAAAATATGTTCAGAAGGCATACATAATTCTTATAGCATTTTTCTGTTTAGGAAAAACTTAAACATCCTCCCCCCCTCCCCCAGATGGAGTCTCGCTCTGTCACCCAGGCTGGAGCACAGTGGCACAATCCCAGCTCACTGAAACCTCCACCTCCCAGCTTCAAGTGATTCTCCTGCCTCAGCCTCCAAGTAGCTGGGATTACAGGCATGCGTCACCATGCCTGGCTAATTTTGTATTCTTAGTAGAGATGGGGTTTCTCCATGTTGGTCAGGCTGGTCTGGAACTTCCGACCTCAGGTGATCCGCCCACCTCAGCCTCCCAAAGTGCTGGTATTACAGGCGTGAGCCACCCCGCACCCGGCCGCAAAATGACAATTTAAAAAATATATATATAACAGGGCCGGGCGTGGTGGCTCACGCCTACAATCCCAGCACTTTGGGAGGCCAAGGCGGGTGGATCACTAGGTCAACAGATCAAGACAATCCTGTTCAACAAGGTGAAACCCCGTCTACTAAAAATACAAAAATTAGCTGGGTATGGTGGTGCACGCCTGTAGCCCCAGCCGCTCGGGAGGCTGAGGCAGGAGAATTGCTTCAACCCAGAAGGCAGAGGTTGCGGTGAGCCAAGATCGTGCCATTGCACTCCAGTCTGGGTAACAATAGCAAAACTCCGTCTCAAAAAAATAAAAATAAAAAAAATTAGCCAGACATGGTGGCAAATGCCTGTAATCGCAGCTACGTGGGAGGCTGAACCCAGGAGGAGGAGGTTGCAGTGAGTCGAGATCGTGCCACTGCACTCCAGCCTGGACAACAAGAGCAAAACTCTGTCTCAAAAAAAAAAAAGAAAGAAAAAAAAGGAAAAAGCTCTATTTAGGCTGCATGTGGTGGCTCACATCTGTAATCCCAGCACTTTGAGAGGCTGAGGGAGAAGAATCCCTTGAGCCCAGCAGTTCAAGACCAGCCTGGACAACACAGAGACCCTGTCTCTACAAAATAAAAAAAGTTTTTGTAAAAAAATAAGCCTCCATTTAGGCAGGGAGCAGTGGCCCATGCCTGTAATTCCAGTACAAGGTGGGAGAATCACTTGGGGTCAGGAGTTCGAGACAAGCTTGGCCAACATGGTGAAACTCCATCTCTAATAAAAATACAAAAAAAAAATTTAAAAATTAGCTGGGCATGGTGGTACATGCCTACAGTCCCAGCTACTCCCAGGGCTGGGGCAGGAGAATCACTTGAACCAGGGAGGTGGAGGTTGCAGTGGGCCGAGATCAAGCCACTGCACTGCAACTCGAGCAACAGAGTGAAACTCCATCTAAAAAATTTTTTTAAAAGCTCTATTTTTAATAGTCCTTACCACATTTATCAGAGAATGCTATATCTGGTATCAATATTCCTCTACTTTACCAAAAATAATACTACCCCTATATTATCAATTGTTAATAAACTTACTCATGCAGCATATTCTTTCAGCCTGTTACTCTGGGCTGTTTTAAACAATTTCTTAATTTAGAAACATATAACTCAAGCTATATATCTTTTCAACAAGAATTAAGGTCATTTTTGTTTTTATTAAGAGTCACTTAAATCTGTATGAAATAGAAAAAAATTAACTTTAAGTTTAAAAAATTTCTAAATAAGGTACCTGAACATCATAGAGTGCTACAATATTTTCATGCTGAAGCTCCTATTAAGAAAATTGAGAATAAAAAATATGTAAGTATTGTAATAATTTTACTATATTTTAATATGTAAATAAAATTAAAGTATACACTTCTACACTACTAGTATTATACTTCTATTAATAGGCCAGAAAAATTCAGTATCTTAAAGAATAAGAAACATACCTCATCAAACAGAAAGCACATTATCTCACTGAAAGAAAATATAATTGTTAGCTCAAAGAGCTATAATTCTTAGCAAAGAGCTCTCCACAGGAAGTAGTTTTGAAGAAGCTGAGTGTTAAATAAGGGCTCTGGCCAGGCGAGGTGGTTCACACCTATAATCCCAGCACTTTGGGAGGCTGAGGCAGGCGGATCACCTGAGGTCACCAGTTGGAGACCAGCCTGATCAACATGGAGAAACCCCGTCTCTACTAAAAATACAAAAGTAGCCAGGTGTGGTGGCACATGCCTGTAATCCCAGCTACTCAGGAGGCTGAGGCAGGAGAATCACTTAAACACAGGAGGTGGAGGTTGTGGTGAGCTGAGATCGCACCATTGCACTCCAGCCTGGACAAGAGAGAAACTCCGCCTCAAAAAAAAAAAAAAAGAGCGCCCCACGCTTGTATTAGTTTGGAAAACACCAGGTCCAGTACTTCCAAACTAGTTTCTTCATTGTAGAATTTTTCAGACTTTCTTTAATGAGCCATAGGCTTTGTGACTCTCCAAGAAGTATTTAGCAAATAGGATTTTCCAAACTTACTTAACTATCTTCTTAAACCATCTCACTTAGGTAATGATGGTTGTGAGTGATCTAAAAAGACCACCTCTAAGAAACACAACTTTCTTCAATTTAAAGAAAGATCCCAAGTGCCTCCACTCTAGTAACATGAAAGGGGACAACAGGAGAGGTAAAAACAATGTACAAGATGGGTCTGCCTGGCCCTCCTCTCAAACACAGTAACTAGGAAAAAGGAGAAATGATGAGAAGCTAAACTCAGTCTTCACAGAATCCATCTGAGCTCTGGTTCTTAAAAACAGATTCTGAGGGTTGGGCGTGGTGGCTCATGTCTGTAATCCAAGCACTTTGGAGGCCAAGGCAGGCGGATCACCTGAGGTTGGGAGTTCAAAACCAGCCTGACCAAAAAAAAAAAAAAAAGCTTCTGAGTACTCAATGTTTTAAAAAAGTGAGCATGTAAAAAGGAAAGCAACAGTTGAAAATTCTCAAACTTGGACCCAACTACTAAAATTACAAAGGATGGCAGCAGGTATTCATTTAAGTTTTAACTTTATATGAATACTACTACATAAAGAAACATACCTTTAAGATTTTAATTTCCTTTCCAAGTAGTATTTGTGATTTTGACAAGTTCTTTTTATTAATACTTTTAATAGCTACCTCCCAATCAGTTTTCTGAAAAGGAAAAACAGTGTTACTCCTAGATATCACTCCACAGAAAAAAATTCATAAGCACGAAGATGTTTTCATTAAAAATATGTACAGCATTGGGGAAAATAGAAAAGAACCTGGATTTCCAATAATGGAAAAGTGATTTCATAAACTATAGTGTTATATGCCAAGGTCCTACAACATAACTACTAAAATAACAAATATGAAGGCCACATAGTAACTAACATTAAATGAAAAAAGAACAGTTCACAACCACCTCAAAGTTATGGAGAAATGTAGAAATCAACTTGAAAGGTGATATGGTTAATTGAAAAATTATGGTTAGCTTGGCAAGATTACACCGTGCTTTTCTTGAGTTCTAAATTATTTTCATAATAAATGAAAAGTTGCCAGGCATGGTGGCCCACGCCTATAATCCAAGCACTTTGGAGGCCAACGTGGGTGGATCACCTGAGGTCGGGAGTTCAAGACCAGCCTGACCAACTGGTGAAACCCCGTCTTAAAAAATAAATAAATAGGCTGGGCGCGGTGGCTCACGCCTATAATCCCAGCACTTTGGGAGGCCGAGGCAGGTGGATCACGAGGTCAACAGATCGAGACGATCATGGTCAACAAGGTGAAACCCCATCTCTACTAAAAATACAAAAATTAGTTGGGCATGGTGGTACGCGCCTGTAGTCCCAGATACTCTGGAGGCTGAGGCAGAAGAATTGCTTGAACCCAGGAGGTGGAGGTTGCGGTGAGCCGAGATCGCGCCATTGCACTCCAGCCTGGGTAACAACAGCGAAGCTCCATCTCAAAAAAATAAATAAATGAAAAGTTAGGCCGGGCACCGTGACTAAAGCCTGTAATCCCAACTCTTTGGGAGGCCCAGGAGGGCAGAACACCTGAGGTCAGAAGACCACCCTGGCCAACGTGGTGAAACCCTGTCTCTACTAAAAATACAAAAAAAAAAAAAAAAAAATTAGCTGGGTGTGGTGGCCTGTAATCCCAGCTACTCAGGAGGCTGAGGCAGGAGAATCTCTTGAGCCCGGGAGGCCGAGGTTGCAGTGACCAAAGATCTTGCCATTGCACTCCAGCCTGGGCGACAGAGCAAGACTGTCTTTTAAATAAATAAATAAATACATGAAAAGTAGCATCACTTTATCCGATAAGCAACAAAGTCAGCCCACTTTTAACTCGCTCCGTGGCAACAATCAGAACTGCCACACCCTTTAAGACTATTTCCATTCCCCAAACGCCTTTCCAAATTCTTTACATTCTAAAACCTCGTTTAACTGTACTTGCAAAATAGCAATGGCTTAAAGAAAAATTTTTTAAGGCTTAAACATGCTTTCATGTTTCTGTGTACTGAAAATGAAGCGTCTAACCATCTTTTTCACCCGGAGTTCGCCAATCTGACCCCGGAGGGGAAAAGGATGGGGGGCTCTTCGGGGTGCAAGGGACCAGTGCTGGGAAAGGTGACACCTCCCAGGCAGAGAAAGCCTGAGGCTAACGGGACATCCACCCATTTCCCCTCTGGGTATGTAATTATCAACCTCAAAGGTGATCAGCCCTGGGCGGGGGTTAAAAAAAACAAAGATCCATTCACACCGGAGCCTTGAGAGCGCACCGGGCTGTGCCATCTATTTTGGGTCCAGAGTAACCTAGGGGCAAAGGCTCCTGCAGGCGGCAAAGGGGTGGGTCCCAAGCATACAGGAGGGTCAGCAGCAGCTGGTCCGTAGGCGGAGAGCCGTGAGAGGCTTGGGCCCCAGAGCAACCCTCGCTGGACCAAAACAAACCGCGAGACTGACAGCGCGCACAATAGCAGCCCCGGCAAAGCGCCGAGATGGGGGCTCGGTCCGCGGCTCCGCCAAGTTTCAGGACCTCCCAGCCCCGTGCCGGCCGCCCGGGGCCCGGCCTCCCCCCGGCCGGAGCTCACCTGGCGGTGCCTCCCCCGGAAGACCACGGCGAAGGCCCCGTGTCCCACGAGGTCCCTCTTGCTGTACTCGAAGTCCCCCACCACCTCCATGGCCGCGCCCCCGGGGAACACAGCAGGAGGGCGGCGCAGGTATCAGCACCGCAACTCCGCGGGTCCGGAGCGCGCCAGCGGGCGGCGGGTCTGGGGCAGCCGCAGCCCCGGCCCCGGGCGGACTCTCATGCCGAGAGGCCGGAGCAGAAACGGGGAAGGCCGCCGCGCGGAGCCGGGATCAGCGAGGCCCGGCCAGGCCCCGGCAGCTCCTCACGGCCCAGCCCGCGGGCTTCTAGCGAAGCAGCCTCTGCGCTGCCGGGCCAGGGTTACCGGCGCCGTCACTGTGCGCGCCCACAGCCGTACCCGCGCTGTGAGGCGGTGAGGGACCTGATACTCTCCATCCCCAGCTCGTCCGGCCTCCTCCGCCCTTCCCCCCCGGGGCGCTGCTGCTGTGGAGGCGGCCGCCGCCCTATAACCCGCAGCGCCGCGGTCCCGCGCTTCCCCGCCTCGCGGCGGCGCCCAACACCCTCGCGCGCGCCAGCCGCTCCCGCGCGACTGGCTGCCCTCTGCGACGTCCGCGCGCCTGTAGGCCGCAGCGCCAGATCGCTCCCTCCGCCGGGGAAAGGAGTGCGGCCCGGTAGCCGCGCCCGGAGCTGGGTTGGTCCTCTGCCGCTCCTGAGGCGGGGACAGTGGACGCGACCCGCTGCGGCCACAGCAGGTTACGGGCTGGGGGCTCCGTGCTGTGCCAGGGGAGCAGATTCGAGCCGACCACGCCCCGGGCTCCGGACCGCTGGGAGGCGGACTTCAGAGAAGCGGGTCTTGAACCCCAACTGCAGGCGGGACGGGAGTATCTGTGCAGGGTAGACCCCCAGATTACTGCCAGAGCAAAGAAGCAACTGCTACTCCCTCGCCGCGAAAACCAGAGTTCACGCTGCCAAACTGCTGGCCTTCGGACATCTCTCGGGGTTTACTCGCTCAGGGACGGCTAGAGGGACTGTGTCAAGCGGGATTCTGCACCTTTTGGGGATCCCTTGACTCTAAGAGAAGCTGATGACAGCTCAGGGCCCTCTTCGCAGAGAATTGCCTCTGCACACTGACTCAGGATCGCACATGCTTTCAAGGCTTTGCTGGGGCTTGTGGTGTCAGGCCAGTTTGACCTCAGGCTTACCTCACATGGCCGAAGAGAGCTTTCTTTTCTACCTGATTGTTAAAGTTGTTCAAGTGACAAGGAACAGATTGTCAGCGTTCCCTCAAGGAAGTGTCTTATGAAACCATTTAGTAAACAATATGCTTGAAGCTATCATAGAAAACTCAGGCCCCATACTTGAGTGTGCGTTCCATTTTTAAGGGTATGTGTTTTCAGGGTCTCCCTCACCACCCCCACTGCCACTCCCTGTCCCTGCAAGCTGATCTCTGAACCGTGACAGAGTCAGCTCCAGGATTCTAAGAGAACCCTCCTTCTTCACACTCTCAAAACGTAGGGCCTTGGTTTCTGCTTCTGCTACTGTGCACCCTTTGTCATCCTGTCCTTATATCTGGCTCAGCTGGTTGCCTTAGACACTGAAAATCTGGAGCCTTTGAAAGTTTACAGCAAGTTAAGCAAGTTTGCACATACACACAAAAATGTGTGGAGATGATTCCTTACCTCACTGAAACATTCTCTAGTCTATCCTTTTCTTTCTTTCTTTTTCTTTCTTTCTTTCTCTCTCTCTTCTCTCTCTCTCTCTCTCTCTCTCTCTTTCTTTCTTTCTTTCTTCCTTCTTTCTTTTCTTCTTTCTCAGAATTTCACTCCATCACCCGGGCTCGAGTGCAGTAGTAGCACAATCTCGGCTCACTGCAACCTCTGCCTCCCAAATGCAAGCGACTCTCCTACCTCAGCCTCCCAAGCAGCTAGAATTACAGGCACACCCCACGCCCAGGTAATTTTTGTATTTTAGTGCAGATGGGGTTTCTCCATGTTGGCCAGGCTGGTCTCAAACTCATAAACTCAGGTGATCCGCCCACCTCGGCCTCCCAAAGTGCTGAGATTACAAGTGTGAGCCACCATGCCCAGCCAATTTTGGTTTTCAAAAGGATAGACTGGGCCGGGCGCGGTGGCTCACACCTGTAATCCCAACACTTTGGGAGGCAGAGGCAGGTGGATCACGAGGTCAAGAGATCCAGACCATCCTGTTCAACATGGTGAAACCCCATCTCTACTAAAAATATGAAAAAATTATCTGGGCATGGTGGCACGTGCCTGTAATCCCAGCTACTCAGGAGGCTGAGGCAGGAGAATTGCCTGAACCCAGGAGGCGGAGGTTGCGGTGAGCCGAGATCGCGCCATTGCACTCCAGCCTGGGTAACAAGAGCGAAACTCCGTCTCAAAAAAATACAAAGGGCCTGGTGGCGCCGTCTGTAGTCCCAGATACGCAGGAGGCTGACGCAGGAGAATCACTTCAATCTGGCAGATCACAGTACTGCACTCCAGTCTACTGCCTGGGCCACAGAGCGAAACTCCGTCTCAAAAGAAAAAAATAATAATAATGCCCGGCACAGCCAAAGCGCTGTTTGTTTGTTTGTTTGTTTGTTTGTTAAGTATGTATGGATACGGTGGCTCACGCCTGCAACCCAGCACTTTGAGAGGCCAGGGCAGGCAGATCACGAGGTCAGGAGAGCAAGACCATCCTGGCTAACACGGTGGAACCCCATCTCTACTAAAAATACAAAAAATTAGCCCAGCGTGATGGCGCTCACCTGTAGTCCCAGCTACTTGGGAGGCTGAGGCAGGAGAATCACTTGAACCTGGGAGGCGGAGGTTACAGTGAGTGAAGATCATGCCACTGCACTCTAGCCTGGGCGAGAGAGCAAGACTACATCTCAAAAAAAAAAAAACAACTAAACAAAAAACAGGCCAAAGTTAGCCTTAGGCAACATTTCCCAAATCCCAGACCAGTGCCGGCTGGATCTTTCCCCCTTCCTCCTCTCTCCACTCCTGGGGTGGTTTTCAGAGTAATAGAGACCAAATTTTTCAGCTCCAAGGATAAGGTAGTTTATCTAGCAGATGTCTGGAGAATTCACTTTCTGTAAACTCTTTGTAGAAGCAATCAGAGTAAAATTTTGGATAGCAAGGAAGCAATTGAGGAGGGGGACAGCACACCTGGAGTGGGCCAGCAGCTATTTTCACACCGTTACCTGGCAGCAGCCAGCATCACCTGGAGCTCAGGGAGAGCCCTCCCTGGCTGTCCAGAGGCAGCCAAAGCTGCTGGATTCTGGGCCTGCCCACCACAGCACTTTAGTACAATGGAAGCAGCATGTCCACCTTCCTGCTGGCCAGCTGCCAACTACATGAGGACAAGTGCACCCGCTGTCAGCCGAGCCAGTCATATTTTACACATACCTGTGTCGCCATGTTTTTGTCATGAGACACAATTCACAACCCTTAAGCGTCCTACTGAAGACCCCCAAAACTCCCATTCACAAAGGTTGCATTTACTAGACACTAACTATAATTAATATACAGTTTTGAGATGTTTGTATTTAATGCCATTAAAATCTCATCCCCATGCCAGAATATTATGAAGGGTTTTTTTTGTTTTATTTTTGTTTTTTTGAAACTGAGTCTCGCTTTGTTGCCCAGGCTGGAGTGCAGTGGCAGGATTTCAGCTCACTATAACCTCCATCCCTCAGGTTCAAGTAATTCTCCTGCCTCAGCCTCCCGAGTAGCTGCAATTACAGACCTGCGCCACCATGCCCAGCTAATTTTTGTATTTTTAGTAGAGACAGGGTTTCACGATGTTGGCCAGGCTGGTCTCAAACTCCTGACTTCAAGCGATCTGCCTGTTTTGCCCTCCCAAAATGCTGGGATTACAGGTGTGAGCCATGACATCTGGCCACAAGAAGGCATTTTTAAGAAACGACAGGCCGGGCACAGTGGCTCACTCCTGTAATCCCAGCACTTTGGGAGGACAGGGTGGGTAGATCAGGAGGTCAAGAGATTGAGACCATCCTGGCCAACATGGTGAAACCCCATCTCTACTAAAAATGCAAAAATTAGCTGGGTTTGGTAGCACGCACCTGTAATCCCAGCTATTCAAGAGGCTGAGGCGAAATAATCGCTTAAACCCGAGATTGCCCCACTGCACTCCAGCTTGGCAACAGAGCGAGACTCCATCTCAAAAAAAAAAAGAAAGAAAGAAACCACTGATAGGCCCTTCATTTAGACATGTGTCATGTCCTGTATTCACAGGCCAAACAGGGGACCCATGGACATATGCATTTTAAAAGCAAGATGTTCAGGATTTCTGACCTCAAGGGTCAGAAAAGATGTCGGGGCAGGAGGCAGGGGGTGCCTTGCTAAGCAAATGTTTAGTTAGGACTATGTTGGTAGCAAATAGCAAACATCAAATGTGATAGAGTGAAAGGAATGTAGATAAAGATAGAGGTGTGCTTCGCAGAGTTCAGGCTTCTCAGGCCTCAAAAGCAAACTACACACAGAACCAGGATCTCAAAAAGAACCACACTCCATCTGTGCCCCTCTTTGTTCTCTTGTCTGAGATCTCCTACATGGTGGCAATGGCAGCCCCAGTCTCCAAATCAAATTCTTAAGGCAGGGATTCTGATCAACCTAACTTCAGCTTGGTGCTATGCCCTGAACAATCATCAGAAGCCAGGAGTGGGACTGAGGAAGGCAGAATCATATAACCATGGCTGCCCCAACACAAGCCTGTGGGTGTTCTGAGTCCCCAGAAGCAGGGACCACATAGGCACTCCAAGAAGTGTCACCCTAGGTCAGCTTTAGGCTTCATTTGAGTGTGTGGCCAGGAGAGATTTCCAGTTTGCCTCTAAAATCACTGGAAATTGCCAATTTGATTCATGTTTATTGTTCTTAATTTGTCCTGTGTGTGCAGGTGCATGTGTGTCTAAACATGCTAAACTGTTGAAATGTTTCAATGCCAGTTAGTAAATAGTATAACAGTAACTGCAATGAGAGGTAAAATTAATTACTAATATAGGCCGAATGCGGTGGCTTAGGTCTGTAATCCCAGCACTTTGGGAGGTCAAGGTGGGTGGATCACCTGAGGTCAGGAGTTCGAGACCAGCCCGGCCAACAGGGTGAAACCCTGTCTCTACTAAAATTACAAAAATTAGCTGAGCATGGTGGCAGGTGCCTGTAATCCCAGCTACTCAGAAAGCTAAGGCAGGAAAATCACTTGAACCCAAGAGGCGGAGGTTGCAGTGAGCCAAGATCATACCATTGCACACCAGCCTGGGTGACAAGAGTGAAACTCCATCTCACAAAGAAAAACAAAATAGCTAGTCATGGTGTCTTGTGCCTGTAATCCCAGCCTCCGAGAGGCTGAGGAAGGAGAATTGCTTAAACCCAGGAGGCAGAGGTTGTGGTGAGCCAGGATCGCACCACTGCACTCCAGCATAGGTGACAGAATGAGACCTTGTCTAAAAAAAAAAAAGCAATTACTAATATAAATTCTAATATAAAACTAGTATATTATCCAGTCCTATAGAAATGTTCTGATTATAAAAGGCCTCCTGTGAAAATAAATGTGAGAAATATTCTGCCGGGCAGGGAGGC